ACAGTGGTGGCTCAGGACCAGGGGGTTCTCCCCGAGGGGAAACCCACTTCGTATAATCAAGATCACGCGGCGGTGTCTCCGCGCCTTGGTTATATGGAGGAAACACTGGTTCTTAACCCAGGGTCCGGTGTTGGGAGCTCTTTGCCATCGAGTTGCGATCTCGACAGATGCTTCCCTCACTGGCTGGGGAGCGGTAATGGAAGGCCGCTCGGTTCAGGGTCTGTGGAGGAGTCATCATCTTTCTTGGCACATAAATTGCCTAGAGATGATGGCTGTCTTCAATGCGTTGAGACAATTCCTCCCAGACCTGAGGGGCCATCATGTGCTCATCCATACAGACAACACATCGGTGGTCTCTTATCTGAACCGTCAGGGGGGTCTGCGTTCGCGTCCACTTTGCAAGCTGGCGCACCAGATCCTCCTGTGGTCTCTGGGGAAGGTACTCTCCTTGAGGGCAGTGTATATTCCTGGGGACCAGAATATTGGAGCAGACATCCTGTCGAGGCAGGAGCTGAGGCCAGGGGACTGGAGACTCCACCCCGAGGCGGTGGAGAAAATTTGGGAGTTTTACGGCCAAGCAGAGGTGGATCTGTTTGCGTCTCAGCATACGATGCACTGTCCACTTTGGTTCTCCCTGACTCATCCAGCCCCCCTGGGGCTGGATGCTATGGTGCAGACGTGGCCAAGGCTACGTCTGTACGCATTTCCCCCTGTTGCTCTGCTCCCAGGAGTTCTGGAGCGAGTCCGCCAGTACGGAATAAGCCTACTGCTAGTAGCACCACGCTGGCCGAGTCAGATCTGGCTTGCGGACCTGATCCATCTCTTAGACGGTCCTCCCTTGGAGATCCCGATCAGGAGAGACCTTCTGTCTCAGGCCGGGGGCACAATATTTCACCCCCGGCCAGATATTTGGAACCTGTGGGTTTGGCCTCTGAGGGGGCCCAACTCATAGAGAGTGGTCTCTCATCTGAGGTTGTTGAGACCATTCTAAGCTCCAGAGCTCCAGCTACTAGGAAATTATATGCGCTTAAATGGAGAGTTTTTTCTGTATGGTGTCACCGACATCAGTGGGATCCGGTTAACTGTTCTGTGAACACAGTACTCGAGTTCCTGCAGGAGCGCTTTACGTCAGGTCTATGTCCTTCCACGCTCAAGGTCTACGTGGCGCCCATTGCGGCTTACCACGCCCTGGTGGGGGGTACATCGTTGGGTCGAGACCCCCTGATTACACGTTTCCTTCGTGGCACATTGAGGCTGAGGCCTGCAACTCGCACTAGGGTGCCAGCTTGGGATCTTGCTATAGTACAAGAAGGCCTGTCTAGGGCTCCATTCGAGTCCTTAGATTCGGTTTCAGAGAAATTTCTTACCCTTAAGACTATCTTTCTGCTAGCTATTTCGTCCCTTAAGAGAGTTGGAGACCTTCAGGCCCTTTCGGTTTCCCCCACTTGCCTTGAGTTTGCGCCGGGGATGGTCAAGGCATTCTTATATCCAAAATAGGGATACGTCCCTAAGGTGCCGACCTTGATTCCGAGGCCTATTGTGCTGCAGGCTTTCTGTCCTCCTCCTTTTACATCTGTGGACCAGGAAAGGCTGAACCTCTTGTGTCCAGTGCGAGCACTGGATACTTATGTTCATCGGACATCTTCATGGAGGAAGTCCGACCAGTTACTTATTTGCTTTGGATCACCTAAGAAAGGTCTTCCTGCTTCTAAACAGACGGTTAGTAAGTGGATAGTTGAGGCTATTACACTTGCATACGAGTACTCTGACCAGCCGTGTCCTTTGGCGGTCAGAGCTCACTCTACGAGGGGTATGGCGGCCTCTAAAGTCTTACTATTTGGGGTTTCTCTTCAAGATGTTTGTGATGCGGCAGGCTGGTCCTCACCGCTCACATTCGTTAGGTTTTACAGCTTAGACCTGGATGCTGCCTCAGGTTCTCAAGTGCTTAGTGCTTAGTTACAACAGACTGACACTCAGGTACTTGGAATCCTGGCGTTTTGGGTATTCTCGTTCCCAAAGCGTCGTTGACGCATCGCAAGTTCCCTCAAAAGGGAACGTCTCAGGTTACGACTGTAACCATAGTTCCCTGAGAAAGGGAACGAGACGATGCGTCACCCTGCCATACTTCCTGCATCCCTGTGATCGGCTTGCTTCGGCATTTTTCGAAGCTAATGCCGGTTTGCACCGGATGTGCTTTTATCCCTTCCTGGTCATGACGTCACCCGCCCGTGACGCTCATTCTTTCCATTGGACTAGTTGACATAGATGCTTCAGACGCATTCACGCTGGGGGCGTTCCCAAAGCGTCGTTGACGCATCGTCTTGTTCCCTTTCTCAGGGAACTATGGTTACAGTCGTAACCTGAGACGTTTTGCTTACAGAAATATTTACTCCTGGATAAATGCTATTCGTGCTATTTGAGTTCACATTGTGATGCTTGAGTTAATTATATGATGTCTTTGTGTTATATGAATGGGAACATTGTTAAACCTGCATTTTTTGTGTGAAGTTTTGCAGAAATCATTAAGATTTTATACATCATAAACGTTTGCGAAACGTGTCTGTTTTGAGAACTGAACGAATGGTTTGGAAAATGGTGCCAACTGAATCAGTTATAGTGTTAGCAATCGAGAAAACCGTCTTCTTCTTCTTCTTCTTCTTCTTCTTCTTATTATTATTATTATTATTAGTAGTAGTAGTAGTAGTATTAAGATCTAAAACATTAATAATAATAATAATAATAAACATGTAGGGTGAATTGCACTAATGTGGGACACTGCCTAATGTGGGACACCTAAGGTCTAGTGTTTGTAGGTCCCCCATAAATACATGAATGACAGTGAAACTATGGGTTAGACAAAGCTGTGGTGTCATGTGATCAAAATCACATGACCTATCAAATGTCCAATCATAGTTGAGGGTGGAGCAATCATCAAACAGGAGACACCTTGTGTGAAGACCATCCGAAGGTTAATGACATAGAGTTTTAACAAATTTGATGTTAAGGAGTTAAATAGATTTTAAACAAAGCAATCCTGCTACTTTTTAGCCTGATATGCTTATGAAATGTTTGTCCATCAAAAAATAGTGTAACTTTATGTGTATAAACTAAATATTTTATATTTTTATCAAATTTCCTAATGTCCCACATTAGGAAATGTGGTTTCCAAATCCGGGACAGTATGATCAGCCTAATGTGGGACAGTACTTAAATGAGTCAAAAATGTGTGGTGGGGCATGTTTAAAAATTATTATTATTTTTTTTTAATAAAAATATTAATAATGTTTATATTAGACAAATCTTAACTAAAAAAAAAAAAAATTCACCTAAGGCATTGATGAAATGGAAACAGGATTTTCATGACCTTTTTTCAGAATCTGTGGTCAGATATTAATTAATATGTAATTCCTAATAAATAAGTCAAAGAAACTCACTTTAAAATAATAAATAGATATTATCCATGTAATGATTTTATCAGTAAGTTTAAAGAAGGGGTTTCTCCATTATGCTGTTTTGGTAAAGAGGAAACAGAAACAATTGTACATTTATTTTTTAGTTGTAATTATACCTAATTATTTTGGTCCAAAGTTTATCTGTTTATTTTTTAGGTGTTTTACAAATGCATCACTATAACTGATATAATGGTCTTGTTTATGGATTGTGATACTGGTTTACTGGAAATGGATAATATAACTAAAGATTTTGTTATTTTACATGTTTCATTCATTCATAACAAAGAAAATTACTAACTAAGATTTAAGAGAGAATCTAAAATAAAATAAGATTTTACTATTCTACATGTATCAATGTGATTTTTGGTATTTTATCATAGATTTTTCAGTGTCCCACATTGGGGAAACAACTGTCCCACATTAGGAAGCTGCTGATTATTTCAGACAACTTGCAATAAGAGCACTAATATGTCTATATTTTTTTCTCTTATGAATGGGTTATCTGAATTTTCTCTTTTGATTTGATTAGGACACATACTGGGGTTTTTAAAATGGTATTGGGTGTGGATTTAATGTTTTGGTTACACATCGCAATATGTCACAGAAGTCTGAAGTGCAAAAAATGTCCCACATTAGGGCAATTCACCCTGTTTTGTTTTTATTACAAGGCATATATTGTGTAAAAAGAAGACCAAAAAGGGAACGGAAGCACAATTTTTGATTATTCTTATTTATTTACTTTGTTTATTTTGTGTGCTAATTTACTTAGTTTAGTTCTTATGCAATATCTGAAAGGTCCATTTGCTCATGCACGCCTCATATACAGCTCTGATTTTACTATAAATACGACGTATATCACATTTAATTCTTGCAATTTTGCATTAGTAATAATGATAATAACAGTAACAACAATAAACGTGAACATTTGTTCTCTTACAAGGCACATTATGCTATTGCAAAGACAAAACGACTAAAAAGGGAACTGAATCAGTTTTTGATTATTCTGATTTTCTTATTCTGAATTGATTTATAATCATTTATTTCATTTATTGGCTCTCAGATGTTTGCCTGGTGAATCGATAAAATGCCCACGCCCTTTTTATTTGGTATTTGGTGAGACTGGATTTTTTTTAACCACTCAGTCAAATGCATTTCATTTTGAGATCTACGTAATTGAGAGTCTGTTAGTAGAGATAAGCAGAGTCGTTTTGAATGTGCGTATGTATGAATGCGATAACCAACAGCTGAGATCACAACAATAATTCATAGTCTTTGAAAGTCACGTTCACAACTGATTAGACAAGGATTAAAACAATTACATAAAGATTTAGGAATATTATGTTTTATCTAAAGACATGATCCTTTCCAGCATATGTTGATCCACTTTCTATTCAGCGTCATACTATTTTTTTTCTAACTCTTTTCATGAAAGGGGGCGTATATGCTACAAGTATTTTGCTACTTACATTAAAACTTCTAGAAGATTGCAAACGTCCAGAATCACTACATAGTCAGCGCCATGCCCATGAGAAGTTTCAGCCAATCAAGTGAGCCCACTTGTATTGGCGATGCAACCCGATGGCATAAATTGTGTCGACAAGAGTGGAAAGGTATGATTCTTATTCCCAACGGAGAAGAAAATCATAAACTGAAAACATGGTTGTGTGGACCGACCAGGAGCGTGCCTATATCCAGGACATTTTCAGCAAGCTTAACTATGAGGACACTGGCCCAAAAGCCTTGCAGAGGTAAGGCCTATGCCCATTAATGTGCTCCTCATTCTCATAGTTTATGCAAGTTTTCTTTGTACAGAGTATATACAAAAGAGCTGGATTCCTTTTTATTTTTATTCTTTTTTAATTTGTGGATGTTTTATGTTAATGTTATATATTGCATGGTCTTGGTTGTGTATCCCTGGACTCAGCGGTACTTCGGAGGTTTTGGAAACCTGTACAGTGCAGAGGCCATCAAGTCCAATCCAATGGTCGCAGCCCACGGAACTGTTGTGCTCCACGGGCTTGACAAAGCCATGAAGAACATGGATGATATAAAGAACGCATACGCCGATCTGAGCGTTCTGCACTCCGAGAAACTGCATGTGGATCCTGACAACTTCAGGGTATGGAAGCATAACAGCATATAAAACTCGTACAGATGCACTCAGACACTATTTAAAACATTTAGCAACCAGTTGCGCGACACTCTTTTGCCTTTTCTGTTTCAGCTGCTGGCCGACTGCCTGACAATCGTGATTGCAGCGACGATGGGTTCCTCTTTCACCGCGAACGTGCAGGCTGCCTGGCAGAAGTTCATCGCTGTTGTCGTCTCTGCTCTGAGCAGACAGTATCATTAAAAACTCTCAATTATGGGGAAATTATTGTATGTCTCTAATGCAATAAAGAGGAATTGATACGCACCTGGGCCATCCGTTTAAACTCATCATTATCCGAATATCATTAAACGGAGAGTTCACCCAAAACTGAACAATGTCGTCATTTACTCACCCTCATTATTTCTCCATGAATAATGACTGGTGGGAATAATGACTCCATGACATTTATCACAAAGTTGTTTGTGTAAAAATTACACAAAGTGTAATGCTCATCTTGTTTGGATGTACAGAATTGTTTGGTAGGATGATTATAATAGCCGCTGGCAGCTTATGGTGCAACATTTGTGATATAGCCTACACACTTAAAAATAACAGTTCCAAAAGGTGTTTTTGTTATCAGCAAAAGCCATAAGAACCATTTAGTTCCCCAAATAACCTTGCTGTTATGGTAGTGCACGGAGATGAACCCAGACAGTATACTACAACACAAGGTTTATTTGAACAAAAACAGGAAAACAAAACACACGAGGGGGCAAAACAGATAGAACAAGGGATACAAGGCTGACTAGACTAGGAAAGGACTGAACAAGAAAACAAACAACACTTCGAGAGATACTAACAATGACTAGACTTTCAATGACGAGACTTCCACAAGATACTCACAAGTAACGTTTGGCAATGAACCGACAAAAGACAGTGAAACACAAGGGGAAGATAAAGGGAGACTAATGATAACATAACAGGTGACACAGATTAATCAATGATGACTAAACAAGGGTAACAAGGGGGCGGGGTTACAAGACGAGACAACACAAGCACATGGTCCAAATAACAGACCATGCGCTTGTACATAAAACATGGGTCTGCCATGATCCTGCCACAAGACCAGAGAAATCAGAGACATGATGGCAGAATCATGACAGAACCCCCACCTTAAGGAGCGGCTTCCAGACGCTCCTCAAAGGGAAACTAAACACAAGACAAGACAGAACAAGACATAGACAAGAACCAACAAAACATAGTGAACATCAACAACGGCATACATGAATAAACAATAACTGGGTTCGGGTGAAACATCAAGAATAACATGCAAGGCAGAGGGGGTGGGGGACACACAAAGTTCATAGGAGGAGGTCCAGGGTGGACAGGAGGACTAGGGGTCTTGGGTCCATGGGATGAGGGCTGAGGACGAGAAATCCGGGCAGGCCTGGAGGAAGACACACAAGGACGGGACTTGGGCGAAACAGACCGGGGTTTCGTGGTGACAGGGGGAACAGTCCGGGGACAAGTGGAGACAGGGACGAACGGTGAGACAGTCCGGGGATTAGTGGAGACAGGGACAAATGGAGAAACAGTCCGGGGACTAGTGGAGACGGGGGAGACCGGGAAAACAGATGGGGATACTGCATTTGAGGGAGCAGCAACAGGCTCAGACATAGAGGACACAGAGGAAGAGGTAACAGGACTCCTGACAGGGGACACGGCAGGCGACAGGGCAGGGCCGGGTGTAGCGCTCACGGCGACAGGCTCGGGTTCAGCGCTCAAAGGAACAGGCATGGGTCTGACGCTTACAGTGGCAGGCGTGGGTGCTGCGCTCACAGATACAGGCGTGGGTGCTGCGCTCACAGGTACAGGCGTGGGTGCAGCGCTCACAGGTACAGGCGTGGGTGCAGCGCTCACAGGTACAGGCGTGGGTGCTGAGGACATGGCAGGACAGACAGGTTCAAGGATTTTGACAAGACTTGACAAATAATTAGCTAAAGCCTCAGCGGCAATGACAACAGGCATCCTTTGACGAGCTGATACCGATCGCAGGACTGCTTCTGCAGCTTGATCGGCCGCAGCTCTCACAGCAGCTGACTTGGGATCGGCGCTCGCTGGAGCGGGCTCTGGGACGGCGCTCGCTGGAGCGGGCTCTGGGGAAGACAGAGACGGAGGACAAGAGGCTCCCTTCCTCCTCTTCTTCCTGGGTCGCGGTGCAGAGGACGTAGCCGGGCTTGTGACCAGTTGAGGAAGCACAGCAGGGACTGCAGTCTCAGTGGAAGAGGACTCCGAAGTCGACTCCCACGACAGCCGTCTCTCTCGTTTGCCGAGTAGACCTTCGGGCCCGGATGACGTCACGGGAGTGGAACCAGCTTGATTCCCCTGGGAAACGACGCCTAGGACACGACCCTCCAGAATCACTGGCAGCTTGACTGGTGGTGAAGTCAAGATGGACCCCCGGGACTCTCTCCTCGATAAACAATCCACCACATCAGCGAACGAATGGCAAACCAGCCTTTCCCGTTCAGCCAGGGGTGGAGGAGAGTTGAGACCTGCAATGAGGTAGCGGTTTAGGAGAACATCAGGCAGGAAAAACCTCCTCTCGTTGGCGACTCGGGCATACTCCCTCAATGATAGCTCTCCCTGGGAGGGAATCGGGAGTTTGCCCCTCTTAGAGTCAGCAATGGTCCTGTGCCACCAATCCTTAAGATCATCTAGGTTATGCCTGACATAAGAGGACGTAATGTCTGCTGGGTTCGGTTCTGGTCGGTTCATTCTGTTATGGTAGTGCACGGAGATGAACCCAGACGCAGACAGTATACTACAACACAAGGTTTATTTGAACAAAAACAGGAAAACAAAACCCACGAGGGGGCAAAACAGATAGAACAAGGGATACAAGGCTGACTAGACTAGGAAAGGTCTGAACAAGAAAACAAACAACACTTCGAGAGATACTAACAATGACTAGACTTTCAATGACGAGACTTCCACAAGATACTCACAAGTAACGTTTGGCAATGAACCGACAAAAGACAGTGAAACACAAGGGGAAGATAAAGGGAGACTAATGATAACATAACAGGTGACACAGATTAATCAATGATGACTAAACAAGGGTAACAAGGGGGCGGGGTTACAAGACGAGACAACACAAGCACATGGTCCAAATAACAGACCATGCGCTTGTACATAAAACATGGGTCTGCCATGATCCTGCCACAAGACCAGAGAAATAAGAGACATGATGGCAGAATCATGACACTTGCAGCGAGCAGTTCTTCCATTTGTGCGATTAATATTTTAATAACCTAAAATAACATTTTGTGCAATGGAAAGGAAGGTTCCATGATTGTTCAAGGTTCTTCATGGAACCATCAATGTCAATAAAGAACCTTTAAGGGGTCATATAATGCCATTTTTGTACAAGCTAATATGATTCTTTAGGGTCTAAATTAAAAGTTTGTAATATACTTTAATTAAAAATTCTCATTAGTATTGTAAGAAAACACTTATTTTACCTGGTCAAAAACAGCTCTGTTTTCAGCACGCCGTTTCAGTGCATATGACTTTAAATGATAATGAGCTTTGCTCACCCCGCCTCTCTGTTCTGCGCATACACCGTTTGTAACACAATAACACAATAACCACGCGTTGTTCATTATAAACGTGGGATTATGAATTATATTGAGAACGTTGTACATAGAAAACATGCTGTAATGTACCCTGAGTGTAAACCGACGCATTCATCGTGAAGCGTGCAGCTGGCGATTTGCAAAGATTATATAAAAATTAATATAAAGATTAATAAAACGTTACACTCACTTTAGTTCTTCTGAAGGTTCAGCAGGAAGACGAATAGGTTCCGATCCTTTATTCAGGTGCAGCTTCTCAGAAAAACCAGCTTTACACTGATCCTCGTTTATAAAGCAGTCCACTGAGAAATGATTCGGCAAACACGAAAGCATTGCCGTTGCTCGTGGGGAATATTCCCTTTCAAAACAAACTCAGCCACTGCGTCTTCAGCGGTTCGGATTTAGGAACATTAAAATGACTGCTGTGTTCGTTATTGCACCCAAGAACAGAACACCACAATCGCTTAGACGCCATTCTGCTCATAGACAGTGCTCCAGCATATCAACAATGACCGCGCCGGTCCGCGCAGACTATGATTGACAGGACGAGCGAGGGCGGGTCTGTGTTGAATCGCTGCTGTCAATCAACAATCGCGGGAGGGGCGTCCGTTTTATTGACGTCACAAAAACGAACGGCTCAATTTGAGGCAGGGGAAAACATATAAGCAGATTAAAACAAAACCACTGGATGGATTTGTATCATTATATGATGGTTGTGTACAGACACTGCCTACACACATTTCAGTACAATCAACTTGTAAAAGTGCATGTACCATTATATGACCCCTTTAAGAGTTTAAACACTGAAAGAGGCTGATGTCTGCTCCAAAACATTTCTTAAATGTATTTTATGAACTCGTCGGTATAATTACGAAAGGACAACCATCTTGTCTATTAAATTAAGAGATTTATGTATCTGTTAAACAAACTGATGCAATTAAAAAGACACCAAATCGTGACATTTCTAGAGGGTTTACACATTCTGCAAAATACTCTCTGCGCATGTCCTCTGGCTGGGGCTGGACGCACATTAGGGAGTTCAATACAACATTAATACGAATTCTATAATGGCATGGACTTCATTAATGCATTCCCTCCCTTGTAAAGAATATGGTTCCTCTTGTGGGATGCATGTGCTACTCCTCCTCAGACTGTGCCCACCAACAAGCTGTCCATTGATGGACAGTTTGTAGAATCCAAGAGTCCAGAATAATTGGACTTTCACAATCCTGCCACCAACGAGGTCACTGGTCCAGTGCCAAAAGCCACACATGAGGAGATGTTGGCCACTGTGCACGAGTGCTTGCGGGTTTACCATGGTCCAAAACTTCCATCCTGGCCCACCAGCAGATCTTCCTTGACTATCAGCAGCTCGCAAAACACAATAATAAATAGCTGGCCAATGGCCATGTTTGTAACCCTGGAGCAGGGTAAAACCCTGGCTGATGCTGAGTTGCAATGTGTTCAAGGGACTGCAGGTGGTAGAGCACACCTGTGGTATCACATCCCTTATGCTAGGTGAGTCCCTCCCCTCTTTCACTAAAGACATAGACACGCACACATACTGGTTTCCCACTGGCGTATGTGCTGGTATCGCCCCCTTCAATTTCCCAGGCATGATTCCTCTGTGGATGTTCTCATTGGGCATGGTGTGTGGGACCACCTATTTACTGAAGCCCTCAGAGAGTGCTTGGCTGCGCCATGATGCTTGCCAAACTGAACATGAAACACTGAAGTC